AGGTTCCTTTACTGAAGTAAAACAGTGCTTGTATCAGGAGCACAATCTTTTAAGTTTTTCCTCCAAAACAATAAATAGCCTGGCCTATATATATATATATATATATATATATATATATATATATATATATATATATACACACACTTAATTGCTCAATACCTGGTATAACACAAACTTCTGATTAGACATTCAAAGGCGAACTATATAAATCAATATATGTCTAATTATTCTTAAATTAATTAAATCTGCCTGATGAAACAAATGACTTGAACACAAATTATTAACAATTATTTCAAATATTTTATTAATTTTGAAGACATTACCAAGAATACAATTCTATTTCAATTCAATTACCAGAGAGACATACTGATACAGACAGACAGGCATACGATTCAGACAGACAGGCACACTGATACACATACACAGTGATACAGACAGACATATTGATACACAGCCATACATACTGATACAGACAGACAAACTAATATACATACACAGACATACTGATACAGACAGACAGGCATACTGACATACATACACAGACACACTGAGACAGACAGACATATTGATACACAGACAGACATATTGATACAGACAGACCGTCTAAATATACATACACAGACATACTGCTACAGACAAACAGCAAGTCTGTCACCAATTAGAAAATAAATAATAATAATTAAATGTCAGGGTTTTAAAATGATGACACTCTTACATTTTTCTTTGTCCTTAACCTCAGACATGAAAAAGGGCATGACCTCTCTGTTTTTAAATGTAAAATAGAATGTGGCTCTTAAATTATCATCCTCATCCAAAGTTGTGGCACAATGTGAATGTAGTGGAGAAAGGGCTTTCTTCCTCCTCCATGCTGTCAATGCGTGGTGGCAAGGACTTGATCTTCATCAGCGGGTGATTGTCCTTCAACCATTCCACACCTTTCCTGATGCTGCTCATCATATTGGCATTCTTTATGAAAAATATTTGAAAATTAACAGCAATCAACAATTTTATATTTTCAGATAAATAAAACGTCTAAATATATTATATACATTGCAGAACTCTACAAAATACCTCAAGATTGTGTGGTGTCGTGTCCCCTTCCAGCGCTCCTACTCCATACTCAATTTCTCCTGGTCCATTCATCTGTTGTAGAAGAGCACAGTGTGATGTAATGTATTTCAATTGTCCACTACAAAATGTTTCATTTAATAAAATGTATAATTTCATGCATATGCAATGCAGAACCAAACTAAGATTTGATTTACTTCGAATTTGCACGAGAGAATTCATCTATTTGAATCAATCCATTTTACAAAAACAAACAAAAATAACAAAGGTCAATGTCCCTGCCCTAATACAGGGTGTCCACCAGTTAAAATTTTTAAGCCCTTTTTAATACCGTATTATAAAACTACAACATTACATTTAGCAAGAACATATATTTAAAGTAGTGCATGCCTGTAATGATCAGACTAGCTCTAGACCATTTGGCTTGGGGCACATGTGTGTTCACAGGGGTCTTTTAGGGTCTTTCAAGGATCAACCCTGCAACAATGGGACTTGGTGTGTTTTAAGAACCCAACTGATATCTGTGTCCCCTGAAAGTCTAAGTATAGAATATTGTCGACTGACAATAGGATAGATAAATAAATAAACAAAATACTTTGACAACAAAAGCTCACTTCACTGTCAGTGAGGCAAGATCCAACCGCCATGTGCAATCCAACCGCCTCAGCCCAATCTGCAAGCCACCTTCCATGTCTGACAAAATACAAAAAGACAACAATGAGAACAAAGTTGTGCAGAATACTGAGTCCTGAGCAAGGACTGTCCCTAAAGTTAGTTTACTAAAAGTCACTCTGGATAATAGTGTCTGCTAAATGACAAATAATAATAACTAAACCCTAGAAACAAAATTCTCCATGAGGAGAAGGCACCACTTATTGTGTCATGAATGTCATGCTGAGAAAAAAGCAATACTTCCATGAATACTATTAACAACAATAATATTAATATAACGTAGAAATAAGACTTACAGCAGTGAAATCAACGGGTTCATTCAATACGATGTGTAAAGCATACTGAAACATTCATTTTACAATATATTTTTGATTTAACAGAGTGGAGACAGACTGATAAAAGTCCAATAACTTACCATAATCATGAAGACCCGACAGGATGTCATATCGAGTTGATGGGAGATATGCTGAAATGGCAAATTGCATTTCGAAAAACAAAGAAATCAATCAGGACGTTAAAGTGTCCCGAAAACAAGACAACAAAATACCCTTACTTTGTTTGTTTTGTTTTTTGTTTTTTCATTTTGATCCAACGGCCTGGTGCTGCAAGTTTCCTGCGACATGAATATATGTTAAATAAAAGAATGATTTGTCCAACAGCACTGCTGAACTGACTGCAGTGAAGACAATTTAATAACTTATTCAAAACGAGCGGATAAAACCGCTATAGTGAAACTGCGCATGCGCGGGGTAAAACTGCTGGGGTGAAACTGCTGGGGTTAAACTGCGGCTCTGCGGCTCTGCAGTCAGACCCTTCTCGGATATGGTCACAGGCCTGCTCTGAGGCGGTGCAAGCGCTCAAGGTGCAGCTCACTACAGCTCCAGTGTTGGCTCATTTCGATATATCTAGCCCCACTATGGTGACCTGCGATGCGTCGGCTACAGCCATAGGAGCAGTGCTGTCACAGACTCAGCAGGGCGTCGAGAAGCCCATTGCCTTTGCATCACGGGCCCTCAATCAGACGGAGCAGCGGTACTCGGTGGGGGAACGTGAAGCATTAGCCTGCATCTGGGCTTGCGAGCGGTGCCACTTGTACCTCTATGGCCGCGCTTTCACCCTGAGGACAGATCACCAGGCCCTGACCGCACTGCTTTCTACATCTGGGACAGGCCACAGACCACTGCGACTACACCGCTGGTCCGACCGACTTCGCCAATATAACTTTGACTTGAAGTTCACCCCAGGCAGAGACAATGTTGTGGCTGATCTTCTGTCCCGCGCTACTCCATCCCACCCTGTCATACACACAACCACTGACACGGACCAGGTGGAACAGGACATTGTTCAGATGTTACACGCACCCCTCCAGGCTGTCGTATCGTTACAAGAACTGAAGAATGCATCGGAACAGGACCCAATTCTCTCTCAGCTCCGTGTCTATATACTGAACGGTTGGCCTCATGAGATATCGGAGGAGCTTGCCGCATTTTCCAGAATAAAGCAGGAGTTGTCCTGCTGGAACGACACCTGTGTGGCACGCGGCCTCTACACAGTCATCCCCAGCACCCTACGTGCACGGGTCTTGGCAATGGCTCACGAGGGCCACCTTGGTATTGTGAAGCTGAAACAGCGCTGCAGAGACCGGGTTTGGTGGCCGGGGATTGATAAAGACATAGAGGCCCTGGTGAAAGACTGTGCCACCTGCCTTTTGAGCGGAAAGACAGGTCACCAGGCCCCCCCACCGTTACAACCACTTGCTTGGCCATCACAGCCTTGGGATCACCTGCAGCTGGACATATGTGGTGAGATACAGGGAGTTCCTCATCACCAACGCTTCCTAGTGGTTGTCTATGATCTGCACTCGAAATGGCCTGAGCTTATTGCCACCGGCTCTGTGACCTCTTTGGTCATAATCAACTTTCTGGACTCTCTGTTCTCCCGCTGGGGCCTCCCAAATACTATCACTACGGACAATGGCCCGCAACTGATCTCGGCCGAGTTCACCACATACCTCAAAAACAAGGGTATTCGCCACATCCGCACGGCATACTATCATCCCCAAGCTAACGGTGGTGTTGAACGCTTTCACCAGTCCCTGAAAAACAGCCTCAGAGCACACCTGTTCCAGGGATGGACATTCTCACAGGCCATTCGCCACACACTGCTGCACTACAGGGCCACCCAACACTCTACAACGGGGGTCTCTCCAGCTTCCCTCATGCTTGGCCGTGAGCTCCACCTTCCCCTCGACAGGCTCAGCCCAGCACTGCCTCAGGGCCTACTACCACAGGTCAGGGCCTCAGTTGAACGCCAGCAGAGGCGGATGAAGCAGAAATTCGACCTCTCAGCACACGCAAAGGCCCCTGACATACAGGCTGCGGATTGGGTCAGGGTTCGCAGGCCCCACAGAGACCACAAACTCGCTTCATACTGGTCTTCCCCTCTCAAAGTTAGTCATCAGCTGGGCCCAGCCACCTTCTTGCTCAGTGATGGCACGCGGTGGCATGCAAGCCGTCTCCGCAAAGTACGGGCCCCGGCACATACGACAGGTGCCACATCTCAAGCCACACCCTCAGCTTGGCAGGACAACCCAGCGAGTCAGCCTAGACCTCAGATAGATCCTGCACAGGTTCCAAGCATCTCTATCAACCTCCCAGCTGAGATGTGTGCTTGCCCATCACAGGCTGCCCAGCCTCATCCTTGTCTTTCACCGCGGCCTGTTCGCACTCGTTCTCGGCCTGGGCACCTAAAGGACTTTGTGTCAACATTTCATGTTTGAAAACCTGTAGGAGGGGGGGAAATGTTGTGTTCTTTGAAGTGGGGTTTATAAATGCATTGAGTTAATGTTCAGTGATGCATAGAGTTTGATTGGGCTGAATCATTTGGTTCTGTCTGAGGAATGGATGTGTTCATCTACTTGGGTCTAGACAGACAGTGTTATGGAAGTAAAGCTGACGATAAGTTGATACTACTCTCTGTGTCAGTGTGGTCATTATCAAACGCAACAGCCAGATCTTTGGATTAAATGCATTATATCCACACACCATATACAATTTCAACTGTTTGTCATCTCACCCTGGCAACCTAAACCCAGTTGCGGAAAGCTTAACCCAAAAGAAAGAAAGAAGAAAGAAAAGAAGAAAGAAAAATAAAAATTATATTGCACAAAAAGTGCTATATAGATAACAGTGACTTGACAAATACTTATATGTTTTATTATAAAAAGTTATGCTATCAAAGAAATATATTTTGGAGGGATATTATTTTGAAAAATGAAACGGTTCAATGACACATTTTGCAATTCAGGCACCCTTGTGTGCTGTTATCAAGGACATGAATAGCTGATTAAATTACAAAGATTACAAAAAAAAAAAAAACCCAAAAAAACACTAAATTATAGCAAGAGTTGAGCATCTTTTAGTTTGTGTCACTCTTGACTAAGTCTTGCATCTCTGTGATGAAGGTGTTTTCTTCCGTTTCAGCTTTTTGCTTACTGATAAAAGGGAGGTTTGTGTCAGGACTACACAGGTGACGCCAACGCTGTTAAGAAACAGACACAGTGAAACAACATTAATCTGTTAGTTGATTTACTCTTGTTTTTAAAATGCAGTTTAGATTTGGTGAATAGTTAAAGATATACAGTACATGTCTGCTCTGATTATGTCTCAGTGGCTTGTTCATCTCTTGATCATGTTTAATCTCACCTGTTTTAGGCTTCCTTTCTCAGTAAACAGTCGGATCAGCGCCCATCCAGGCACCAGCAGAATGGAGGACAGGGCCAGTAACCAACCTAGTGCGTACGCCCAGTCTGGGTATACATACCAACGGTTAAAAGTGAGAGGTTTGTACTTAACCATTGAACAGACAAAAGACACCTGAAAATGGACAGAAGAGAGAGAACATTTGTAAAGAATGAAAAAAAAGGACAATTAAATCAGAAGAATGTGAGAAGTGGCTGTGTCATCCCAAGGCGTCATATAGTGACGCTTTTGAGATTTCGTCTACATCCAACGCACATGGCACCCTTTAGCGTCAATATGAGACGCAGATATATATATATATATATATATATATATATATATATATGCGTCTCATATTTACACTAAAGAGGCGCCTTCTGGTTCATATATATGCTATATATATATATACACTCACCGGCCACTTTATTAGGTACCCCATGCTAGTAACGGGTTGGACCCCCTTTTGCCTTCAGAACTGCCTCAATTCTTCGTGGCATAGATTCAACAAGGTGCTGGAAGCATTCCTCAGGGAGTTTGGTCCATATTGACATGATGGCATCACACAGTTGCCGCAGATTTGTCGGCTGCACATCCATGATGCGAATCTCCCGTTCCACCACATCCCAAAGATGCTCTATTGGATTGAGATCTGGTGACTGTGGAGGCCATTTGAGTACAGCGAACTCATTGTCATGTTCAAGAAACCAGTCTGAGATGATTCCAGCTTTATGACATGGCGCATTATCCTGCTGAAAGTAGCCATCAGAAGTTGGGTACATTGTGGTCATAAAGGGATGGACATGGTCAGCAACAATACTCAGGTAGGCTGTGGCGTTGCAACGATGCTCAATTGGTACCAAGGGGCCCAAAGAGTGCCAAGAAAATATTCCCCACACCATGACACCACCACCACCAGCCTGAACCGTTGATACAAGGCAGGATGGATCCATGCTTTCATGTTGTAGACGCCAAATTCTGACCCTACAATCCGAATGTCGCAGCAGAAATCGAGACTCATCAGACCAGGCAACGTTTTTCCAATCTTCTATTGTCCAATTTCGATGAGCTTGTGCAAATTGTAGCCTCCTGTAGCTTTCCTGTTCTTAGCTGAAAGGAGTGGCACCCGGTGTGGTCTTCTGCTGCTGTAGCCCATCTGCCTCAAAGTTCGACGTACTGTGCGTTCAGAGATGCTCTTCTGCCCTCCTTGGTTGTAACGGGTGGTTATTTGAGTCACTGTTGCCCTTCTATCAGCTCGAACCAGTCTGGCCATTCTCCTCTGACCTCTGGCATCAACAAGGCATTTCCGCCCACAGAACTGCCGCTCACTGGATGTTTTTTCTTTTTCGGACCATTCTCTGTAAACCCTAGAGATGGTTGTGCATGAAAATCCCAGTAGATTAGCAGTTTCTGAAATACTCAGACCAGCCCTTCTGGCACCAACAATCATGCCACGTTCAAAGTCACTCAAATCACCTTTCTTCCCCATACTGATGCTCGGTCTGAACTGCAGGAGATTGTCTTGACCATGTCTACATGCCTAAATGCACTGAGTTGCCGCCATGTGATTGGCTGCTTAGAAATTAAGTGTTAACGAGCAGTTGGACAGGTGTACCTAATAAAGTGGCCGGTGAGTGTATATAGCATATAGCATATATATGAGCCAGAAGGCACCTCCTAGTGGTCTAAGGCCGGATTCACATATAGCGCCTAAAAACGCGTAGAAAATGCTGGGCGCGCCGCATTCTCCATTTTCCAAAGCGCCAGGGCGGTTGCGCTTCAGTTGGTTCTTGTCACATGACCTATTGTGCGCTTATGGTGCGCTTGCGGCATTCTGAAAAGTTGAGATGTTTTTATCTCGACGCGGCGCGGACGCGCTTGGAAAAAACGAGCGCGTCGCACCGCGACCGCGTCGCTTCCATCATGAGCGCGCATACCGCGCGCCTACATTTGAAATAACGAACTTGAGCGCGCAAAAGACGCGATATGTGAACCGGCCCTAACCCTACCCCAGACCTAAACCTACCCATAACCAAACAAAGCTCTGTGCGCGTGTTACATTGGGTGCCATGTGCGTTGGATTTAGACGAAATGTCAAAAGCGTCACTATATGACGCCCTAAGATGAGAATGCGTTGAGAACCATATAATGACCAGAGAGATTTGTTGGGTTTTTGACAAGTACAAAAAATAAAGCAGATGAATGAAATACAGAGGCACTTACTAGGGACACGAAAGGAGTCAGGTATTTCCAGCACAGCATGAATATGTAATTCGGTCGTGAATTTGTCATGTCTTCAATGACGTCAAACATTCTCTCAGCCCCTGTGGTGTTAGGGAAGAATTAAACATCACTGGCTTTTAGATACTATCATTGTTGTCTATTGTGGTTTCTGATACTGTCATTGTTGTCTGAGATCATGAATAATTTGTATTTGATTTATAGTAAAATTTCATTACATTTCTTTCATTTCACACAGTTAGAGGGAAAGTTTTGACAGACATCACAAAATTTTACACTTATTAGTTGCCGGTGTTCAGAATAGTATTTAAATCATGACAACTCTCAAGAGTAGCTTTGGCATGTGAATCGCCATTTACAGGATTTTAGGTTTAGGGTACCAATACATATTGTATCAAAGCGGCTTCACAGTGATAACATGAAAATAATACAACACAGATCAATAATATTGTTGAATATTAAATGTCCCCAACTAAGCAAGCCCAAAGCCAAGGCAACAGTGAAAAGGAACCAAAACTCCATCAGCTGACAGAATTCAGAATAAAAACCTTGGGAGAAACCAGGCTCAGTCGGAGGGCCAGTTCTCCTCTGGCCAACAAAGGAACAGTGTGTGTTCCTATAGGATGCTCCATAGAAACATTTTTTTTTCTTTTTTTTACATTTTAAGGTTAAATCAATCTGGTGCACATTAAGAGCTCAAAATTAGGAGCTTTAATTTTGAACACAGAAAAAGCATTGACTTGTGCCTGGACATTAAAGAGGGCTCAAACATCCTTTTAGTTATGATATAGAGTCTCAGTCTACATTGATCTCTGGTGTTTTAGGATGCCAAACAATTAGTATAATAATATAATATATAATTATTCCTGTGACATAAAATCCATATAGCCTATAGTTGTACTGTATAAATGAAAATATTTCAGTATATTTTACATTACACTATAGTATAGGAAAATTACAATACTTTTGTTCTAAATTCTTCACTTGCAAGAAATAAAACATTGAGCTTTTATTTTGGAGAAAACACCAGATCACCATGATGATCGCGTGAGCAAACTTAAAGTCTTTTGCTTTTTTATAAAGGCACAAAGCCATATCACGGTTTTGATTTTAGTTTGTTTTAGTTCGATTTATTTTATCGGGAAAAGGGAAAAGAGCAAGTTTGGCAAAAGACAGATTCAAACGCGGATCGAACATGTTAAATGCTATACTTTCAAGCACCTCACAACCTATGCCACTGCGGACTCGGGAATGCAGATTGGACCAAAATGTATTTTTGATGCTTCAAAACATTCTAACTAACCCTCTGATGTCACATGGACTTCTTTGATGATGTCTTTATTTCCTTTCTTGACAAGGACAGTATACCATACATACATTTTCAATGGAGGGACAGAAAGCTCTCAGACTAAATCTAAAATATCTTAAACTATGTTCCGAAGATTAACTGGGTTTTACAGGCCTGGGATGACATGAGGGTGAGTCATTAATGACATAATTTTCATTATGGGGTTTACTAACCTTTGAAGTTCAATAAAAAAAAAGCAACATTTTGAGCAAAAAGCTGAGATAATTACATTTTTTGGGTGAACTAACCCTTTAACCACATGCAAGTGTTGATAAAAAAGTTTTTGTTGTTGTTCAAAACAGAGGGTCTGTTCTTTCTTTTGATATATTATAAATTATTAAATATTCAGATATTTCTACAACAAAATATTCTGGGGGCCATGAAAGTTTTTTGAAAATTATCAAAAACGCTGGTGGTGGCTGTCAACTTAAAAAAACAACAACAACAAATGTTGGTGGGGAAATAGTTAATAATATGGCAATGTTAATGTCTTTGTAGTCTACAGTAATTAGATATAGGCTACATACACGTTGTGAGTATGTAAGCTGCCTCATGAATAGTCATAGTACACTCTAAAAAAAAAGGTTCTTCAGGGGTTCCTTTCAGTGGTCATGGTGCTATATAGCACCACTACCATTTAAAGAACCTGTTAAGCCCAGTTTGGTTCTTCAGTGGTTCTCTGGGGTGGTTAAGGTGCTCTATTGCACCTCTTATGGTTCTACATAGCACCATTTGATAAAGATAAGTGCTAAATGGTTCGCCTATGATTACAAGCCAATGAACCACTTTTAGTGCTATATAGCACCATTTTTGTTTAGAGTAGGCAGGTGGAGCTGGGGGAGGTAGGGGGTTTCAGATGAACTCTAATAATGCACTGAAGGACCAACTTACAGCAAATACTGAATGAGACTATTTAAATGTTAAGCAAGCAATTTGATTGGCTGCAGAATCAGCAGAGACCAATCAGCTTGTACCCTCTGGTAATGGTGAGACAGCTTGCAGATTGCATGTAAAGGACTATCAGCTTGCACAATTTAGAATTTCATGACTGAGCAAGAACAGTTGAACAACTGCAAAAACAAAAAAAACAAAAAAAAAAACAGCTTTTGTGCAACTCACCAAAAACCCAACCCATGGCCAAAGATTCAAAAACACAGAGGAAAAAAAGACAGGCTCCACTGCAGGCATAGTAGTCGAACAGCTGGAATACATACATCCCCCCTGTAGGTCACAAAATCACAACTCAGTTGCCTAGTATTTTCAAAAATAGTAGTTTGTAACGTATACAGCATACAATGTTAAAGGTTTGAAAGTATGTACGTGAAAAGTTATACAAACCTCTGTAACCATGACAAGTTGGCAGAAGAAGCAAAAAACACAGAAAAGCAGAAGAAATATTTCTCGACGTCCAGCTTTGCGCAGTACCATGGGGTACAGGTCCATCGCTGAGGTCATAAAAACTTCCATCGCAACAAACTTTGGGGGATGCAGAACGAAAGTGCATCAGAAGAAGTTCTGTATATTACATCTACATAGCTTCCAACTTAGAAAGGCTTTAACTTAGGTTTAACACCTCTGTGTGCAGGTTGGAATTTCAGCTCACCTGTGTATCTAGTCCCAGCAAAATAATCATGATGAAGAAACAAACAGACCACAACTGAGGGAAAGGCATCATAGCTACTGCCTGTGGATAAGCTATGAAAGCCAACCCTGGACCTGAAAAAAAAGACAGAGATAGAATGTTTTATTGAGTATTTAGTTCTAAAGCTTTACAAGATTTCAAAGAATCTTGCAGTACCTGATTCTGCCACCTCCTCAATGGATACACCCTGCTTTTGAGCCATGAAGCCCAGAACTGAGAAGACAGCAAAGCCAGCCACAACACTGGTGCCACTGTTCAGAAGGCAAAGCCATAAGCTGTCCCTATAGGGAAAACATAGATTATACAACCCTTTGGTGTGAAAATCAATAATTATGTTTTGTAGAAGAGAGAAGAGGGGGCCAAACGAACCATGAGGTCCATCACTGATAAGTTAAAGGGGCACTTGGCAACTATTTCTACTTTTAAAACCATTTAGAAATCATTTGAATGGTTCAATAACCTGTTGAGAATGTTGGCTTTCCCCGCTCCCCCCAGCATCCCCGGGTGGAAAACCAACCTTGCAACATGAGGACCAACGTCCCGGTAAGTTGGAAATAGAAGTCTGTGATAAGTGAGAACGAGCGAGAAACAGAAACTGCTTTACGGCAATTCGACATAATTCTATGATACTGTGTATGATCTATTACCCACTCGGTAGACAAAGCTCCACACGATAGAGTTGGCCGGCTCCGATAATATCAGAAGCACACGAGTAGGGTTGGGAATCATGAGAAATTTTCCGGTTCCGATTCCGGTTCCGCCAAACGATTCCGGTCCGGTTCCGATTCAATTAACAATATTAGTAAGAAAAAAAATCCACAATTCCTTTTGTGTTTATTTCTTATAGTACTTGAAAAATGAGTTTAACAGACTGATAATGTAAACAAATTCAACATATTATTAATCAATCTTTGCAAAAAAATAAAAAGGAAATTTAAAAATTCTGCATTCTCTAGAATAATTTAGGACCTCTTATTGCATCTCCAACAGTGATACCCTCTCAGAAGGGGTAGAATATGCTTTAACACACATATGTGTGTAGAACAGATTATTTTTAAAAACAGTTTGAATTATTGATTCATAAAGACTTCAATTATTGCATTATTACTGGATAAATCGGCCCTAAATAGCAGTTAATAAACAGAACTGCAGTGCACGCGTCTTGCGGAAGAACATAGTTGCCGGATCTACTTTCTCTGTTTATGTCCATGACGAGTCACGCAGGCATTGGGCTACTCCGCAGCGGCTGTGATCCGCCATCCAGTCTAAACAAGTCGGAGTATTAACGCTTATTACCGGCTTTACGTAGTGATTCAAGATAAGACAAAAACACGATTTGAAAAAAGCCTTCATGATGCACTCGCTCATTGTATACATTTTGTAAATTCTGAACACAAAAAAAGTTACGGACTGGTTTTGATACGGTCAATGTTTAGCCTACTCAAACTATAATCTCACTACTTCTGTAACGTTAATCATTTGAATATGTGTAACATAAAATTTGATACTGTGTGATTTATAAGCAGTTTCATGCCGACAACTGCTCTCTCTCTCAGCGCAAACAGATTTGAATGTATGTGACTCGGCACGCGCGTGTGTGTACTATAAATGCAGCGCGTGTGAGAGGAAAATCGCACTTCAGTGGTGAAGTTTTTGTCATTTAGGAATAAGACGGCGTAGGTGTTTGAATCGAAATCTTTTGCAGCTCTACTCTCTCTCTCACTGTCTGCACCTTGAGGTGAGACGCTAAAAGGATAACCTACTCCCAGGACTTCGCCCTCATATCACTCCAGAACGTTTTTAGGAACCGAAACTTAGGAATTT